TTAAAAATATATTAATAAAAATAAACTAACTTTTAGAATGCTCATACTCATGTAAGAAATAAAATTAATTAATTTTACAAAATAATCAAATAAATTATCATTTTATTTTGTGTAAATGTTATTAATTAAATAAATTATTTGAAATTTTGAAAAATGCATCAAACGATGTAATTTTGAACTAGGTAAAAAAGCATTAAACTCTCATTTGTATCAAACAATATAATTTTACACTAAATATTTCACTTTGTTTACCATTTTTTTAGATTTTTAACTTTTTGAGTAAAGTGTATTCTAAAAAAAAAAAAAAAATTTCAGTAAAATGTATCATGCAAAAAGGTTATTTAGACTTTAGAGATAGAATAGGCTAAATAATTATAAATTTTTAATTTTGAAAATAAAAATAGAAAATTTTCAGTTCGAACCGGATAAAAATCATTGGTCCTAGACTTATTCAAGTTCAGAATTTAATATTCACATGAATCTTAACTATCATTAAACGCCGATTTCGGGTCAAAACTTTGAATCGACAATTTCGGTCTGATTATGATTCATCTACAGTAAGGTTCAATTACGGTTCGAATCAAACCGATGGCCATGCCTAATTGAACTATGAGGACAATTAAAAAATAGGGCGTATAAATTAGGAACAATGGATGAAAAATAAGCCTCCTTTTTATTTTTAGTTTTCTTATTTAAAAGAATATAAATAATTCTTTTAATTTGTAAAAATATCAGCAAATTTTATTAATTTTTAATAGTAAAATTCTATCTCTTTGTAATATTTATTATTATTAATGAATTATATTTCTCAATAAAAAAATGATTTTTGCATTATGGTTGTTTTCGCTTTTACATCAATGCATGTCAATATAGTTAGTAATGAAAAATTTAAAAAAAAAAAACTCAAAAAAAAAAAAAAAGAAAAATTTAAAAAAAAAAAACACTACAAAAAAAAAAAAAAAGAAAGGGGGGAGAGGGAAGATTTGCAAAATCTTAAAAATTGATGCTCCTTTTTACACAAGTAGCAGAGTGGACAAGTCTTAAACTTTTAAATTTATTTATTTGTAGTAATTGAGATTTTTATTTTTGAAAATTGGGAGAAATAAAAAATAGACACATATAGTAAAAAAAAAAGGTGTAATATTGTTTGTTTTTCAAAGTATTTTATATGCTAATGCAATTTGCCAAAAAAAAACAAAAAAAAAAAAAAAAAAGGGGGAGAGGGAAAAGATTTGCAAAAATCTTAAAAATTGATGGCTCTTTTTCACATGGACATCTTAAATTTTATTTATTTATTTGTAGATTGAATTTTTATTTTGAAAATTGGGAGAAATAAAAAATACACATATATAAAAAAAAGGTGTAATATTTTGTTTTTCAAATATTTTATATGCTAATGCAATTTGCTTTCATACTATTGAAGGGTTAAATTCACTTGTTGTCTCTCAACACTTTAACATTCCTAAACTTTAATTTATGACTGAAAAAATAACCAAATTTCTATTAGTGTAACAGTAAAAGGGACCACAGTTCAAACAATTAACTGAATTGGTTTGATTCCATTTGTTCAATTTAATTTTTAGGTAAATTTAAATTATTTTTTAAAATCAAATCATAAAGTAAAATTATCAAAAATTAAAAATTGAACTAAAGCAATTAACCTAAATAACTGTTCTAAATGGTTGAACAAAATATGTTTAGCTTGGTGTATTTTTATTTTTATTTTATTTTTGGTTATAAAAATTTAGGAGTGCTGAGCTGGCCCATCTCCAAGGCAAAAAGTCAAGTCCGGCGAGCCGGCAGCGCAAGGCTGTTTACCTTTCCATATACCTCCACGACATGTATTGAATCTCAATTCTCCGCTTGGATCAAATTTTACAACTGAATCCAAGGACGATGGGTTGCTCAGCTCGGTTTTTTAATTATGACAAACGGGTGCTTACTCCTATATGGCAAAGCATATTTTAAGATTAAGAAAAATAAAGGGATAATGATAATTTTAATACCTGGACTTTTAAATTTTTTTTATTTAAATATCTGACTGGAAAATACTTTTAATTGAGTGCCCCGTTTTAAAAACATCGATCGAGAGTGTTTATTGATGATTTTGCTCACCGGATTATTGACTTCAAAGATGTGGGCCCATATTAGCTTATGTGGCAACTGACGTGGATTAAAAAGACTTGCCAACTATGTCCCATGTATGGCTAAGCTTCAGTCCCGAAATTGCCCTTCATTTCTCCTCTTCCCTAGAATCAACAAATTAATTCATTTGAGATCGATTCATCTCTTCATCTACTTTCCTTCCTCTCAAATTCCACGGCCTCTCTTTGTGAATTAGAAACACAAAGAACAAGTTAAAGATTGATAGACATTGGAGAAGTGAAAATCTCTTTTATCTTCAAAAAATGGAAGCAAAATGAGAAAATAGCCATTTGAAAGCAGAGGAAGATGAAGTTTTAATAAACCATGTCTATCTATAATCACGCTATCATCTACAAAAACACTAATCCCTTCTCCTCTCGTCTATATTTAAAAACCCAAATCCTCCTTTGTAATAAACAATATATACAGTTGTTTTATAAAATTAAGTTACTCTTTAACAAACTGTGAATCTTTTGCTTCCACTTCCATTTTCACCAACAAATCAATCTCTTGCAGCGTACTCTTTATCTCCAAAGCGAGTAATTTGATTTTATTTTCTCATAAAAATCACAACTCTTCTTCTTTAAATCTCTGGCCATGGCAGCTGCGACAAAGCGCCACAAAAAGCGGTGCCACTAAATCAGCTCCATCTATTTGCATGTGGAAATGTCGACGAAGACATTAAAAGAAACTCCATTGTTGTCTGATGTTGGGCTGCAAATTTAACTTCACAAGTATTGGTAGAGAAATCTTTATTAGAATGGAAAGAATATGAATTGGGAAGTGAATTTGTAATTGTGTATATTCTTCATTATAAAGAGGGGTTTAGGTTTTTCGGTAGTAGATAAAAGATGCTTACAAGGATTTTGCAAGCTTTAGAGACTCATTCCTCTTCTTCCTCGTCTAACACTAAGCCATAGAGGCTTGTAAACTCGTCTATGTGTTGCCATTGCCGTATCCATTTCAACCAGATGCTGTTAATATGCATTTGGTGCTAAGCCATGGAGAAATGAAGAGCAATTTTGGGATTATTCACGTGGAACACAGCTGGCAGGTCTTTTTAATCCATATCAGCTGCCATATGAGCTAACATGGCAACCGCATTTGCAAAGTCAACAATCCGATAAACAAAATCAACAATAAACACTTAATTGAATATTTTAAAACATTTGAACACTTAATTGAAAATAATTTCGAGTCAGATAGTCAAATAAAAAAATTTAAAAAAATTCAGAGACTAAAATTATCATTATCCCAAAAATAAAAAGAAAAATGACCACGAGACATGGCCTAATTCTGGCTCCTTGTGCACCTCTTGCAATGGAGCCAAAATGCCCCACCACTCCAAAGAATGGAACACCAAAAGGCCCCATCCACCTCCATTCCTCGTAGGCAAGGGGGCCTATCACTGCCCAAAAGCGTTTGATTTGATGATGTTTCTTTGACAATTGTACAGTCATCAAAATAATATAATATACAGATCTAAGTGCAATTTTTCAAACAAAACGCATTCTTTCTTTGATTTGGATTAATACCCCACTTTTTGACCAATCAATAACTCACGTCAAGTAAAGCAAACCCCGATTTGCAGTAACACTGATTTCTTTATTTTTCTCTCAGCTCCGTCGAGGTAGGATTGAGATAAAGTTTTCAAGACAAGAATCATATTAAACTAAAATCTTCTCATTCGTGTATAAACTAAAATCGTCTCATTCGTGTATATAGAACGAATGGTTCGAGACTTTTTTTTTTCTTTAAATCAAATTAAAAGGTTCGATATTTATTGATAAAAAACATACTATTGTGAACATTTTACCTCTCAGCAGTGGGATCCAATGCAAACAAAATTTAAGCCTAATTAAATAGACTAAAATTCCTGTGGTCTAACAAATTTAAAATGTTTTCAACAATGAATATTTCAAATTCAAATTCAAACACCAGATCTCATAGGTAAAATTTGCCCCATAAAGACTGTGATTAGTGCATAAAAACTGTGATTAGTGCTTGTTTGGATAGTACTAATTGCAAAAGCATCTTGTCACTTGCTCCTGATGAACAATAAAATTACAATTTTTTTTTTTGCAAGAACATGCATTAAATTCACAAATCAGGAGAAAAAAAAAATGTACATTAGCTTCCAAGTTAAAATGCCACCGACCGTCTACTGTGTGGGAGAAAAGCATCATTACTTAATCCGACTTTTGCAGCAGAAGTTTCTCCATTCTCTTCTAGTGAAACATGGAATTAAATGACCCCTCTAATCAAGTGAAGAGTCAAGTGCTTCTTCTTGTTTGGCCCATTGATATTAAAATTAAAATCACTAAAACGTATCAATACAACAATGTCTTTAAAACTATAATTTTGCAAGTTTGGAACATCAATCAAGAATCACACTTTCAAAAGACTGACTAAAATTATAAATTTGCAAGCTCGAATATTAATCAAGAATGATTAAGATGATATAATATCAATCTTTTTAAATAAAATCAATCTTCTATAAGAAAGAGCATCAAATCCAACCTAATTTCACCTAAGAATTTATCCAACATCACAGTAATGTTAAAACCAAACCAACATTACAGAGCTTATGACATTACCTTGCACATTCATCACTTCAATGCATAATTCAATTTTGGTTTCAGAGACTAGGAGAACCCAAGAATACCCATTAAAGAAAAACCAAGCTAGAGTTCTAATGAACAATGCAATCAATATTTCATAACCTTAAAAGAAGAGAGGTAATAAAAAGAACAAACAATATGTATTAAAGAAAATATAGTAACACTAGCAATGTGGGGCTCTCTACACTAGACCCCAGCTCAATCATAAAATAATGTCTGAAAAAGTTAAGATTAAAAAAAAAAAAGTGGTCCTTGAACAGGAGAAAAGATGAAGTTCCATTTCATATGCTGCTTTAATGCCTAAGCAAAATCAATATACAAGCTGCAAAAGGGTACAAAAAATTTGCTTTTTATCTTTTAGCTTTAACTAACCTATCCATTCTAGAAATGCTTCAACTTCAAGTCATCAAAGTTCAATGATTTTTTTTTTTTTTTCCACTTTACTCTGCTCTTTGTACTGTAGTTTTAAACAAGAGAACGTACAACTTTTGATCCAATGAGAAATACAGAAAACCCCCAACTGAATGTGTGACAAAAGATCCAAAACTTGTCCCTACAATGCAGTGCCATGCCGGTCCATAAACCGCATCAAACTCCTGCAAAAGATAAGAAAAATCACAATTTTATCAATTATCAATGGCTAAATTCAAAAACCCACATCACAAAATCAACAAAATAATCAAAATATTAATTAAACACAAGTTAATTAGCATAATTACTGGGGGAAAAACAACTTCACAATTATCATTGAATGAACTCACAAACCCATATCACAAAATCAACAAGACAATCCAAATATAAGTAATTCAAGTGTAATTAGTAATAGTTACCTTCTTAAGAGTAAGCGCAAGAGTCTTAGAGGTGAACTTTTCCAGACTATCATGAGTATTTCTTGCACAATCAACAGCATGGATCTGCATAAATGATGGCATATCAACTGAAACAATTTTAGCACCGTTATTAGCCAAAAAATCAGCCAATTCAACTTGTGAACCACCAAAAGATCGCCTTCTACCACCACCACCTAAAGAAACTGTCATCCTCTTAATATCAAGTCCTTCGATTAGATCCTTATTTTCCTTCTTCTTTCCATTATTCGCTACCAAGTCTTGAACTTTCTTCTTCTCCACAGCCCCTTTAGATGATAATTTCTTGACTTTCTCTTTTTCCACTATTGACTCTATTCTTTTTTGTTGTTTGACTATTGAAAGCCTAGACCCATCAAAATCAGCCGAAACAGCCATAGCTTTAGCTTGCAAATGGGTATCTACAGAAGGTTTATGGGTAATTGTAGTGATTTTACGAACTGGGTTTAGTTTAGATAAAGGGTTCGATATGTAAAAGGGTTTAGAAGGGATTACCTGATCTGGGTTTTTGGTGGGTTTGGTATGGTTCTTTTTGATTGTGGGATCCATAGATGGAGAAGGAGGGTCTGCGGATGCTAAAATGCGCCTCCGGTTGGCGTGGTGTGCCATGTTAATATATATGAGAATTTATTGATGCAGCCTGCAGGTTAAATAAAGATATGAAGGAGAAAGAGAAATTGGTGTTGTGGGTTTGAGAGGTGAAGTTATGGGAGTTGGATTGATTGGATGGGGAATTGTGTGGTTAGAGATCTGATGTTGTCTTTTACTAACATGCGCCGGAGGCGGAGCAGAAGGATAAATTGTTGACCGTTGACTTGATCCGCCTTAGGGATAACTTGGGCGGATAATTTATTATCCTACCTTCTCGATCTTTCTTTTATGGTTTGTTGTTGTTGTGTCTGAAAATTGTCATCAGATGACAAAATTATTTTGTCTTAAATTATTATCCTATTTTCTTTAAAGAATATAATTTTATTTTTTTATTATATCCCCGTTGAAAATGCATTTTTATCTATATATATTTGTGCTGTGTATTTTCTATTTAATCAATAAAAAATTAACAATTAAAATTTAATTTTTTCTTATTCTTAATTGATGAAAAATTATAAGGTTATTTAAAAACAATTTACACAAAAATTATGACTTAATCAATATCTAATTATTTTTTAATTTATAAAAATGACAAATTAAATTTAATTTTATGCAGTAACTTTTAAATGTATTGTTTGACTAATGTCAAACCATATTATTTTTGTTATTCTTTCTATTCACGTCATAATTTTTATATTAGCATTTAGAAATTAAGCAAATGAAAAATGATACATCAATCCTATAATATTTAATTAACATTTACTAAATGTACTATCGTAAAAATCGGCCGAATTATTCAATTTAATGGAAAGAAAAAAAAAGTTAGTTCTTTTCTAAAAAAAAAAATGTTTAATTCCCATCGTAAAATGTTCCTTTCTTTTTTTTTTTTTTTTTTTTTTTATCCTACATTATTGTTTTATTTATAAAAATGACAAATTAAATTTTAATTTATGCAGGTATTTTAAATGTATTGGTTTGACTAATCGTCAAACCAATGATTATTTTTGTTATTCTTTCTTTATGCATCATACAATTTTTTATATTCAGACTCGATTATAGAAATTAAAGCCAAAATGAAAATGATACATCAAATCCTAGATAAATATCATTAATTAACATTTAACTAAATGTACTATCGGGTAAAAATCCGGACCGAATTATTCATTAATGAAAAGAAAAAAAAAAAGTTAGATTTTCTTTTCTAAAAAATAAAAAAATGTTTGAAATTGCCCATCGTAAAAATGTTCCTTGTTTCTTTTTTTTTTTTTTGTTTTTTTTTGGAAAAAGTAATTTTTTTTTTTTTTTTTTTTTTTGGGAAAAAGTAACTTAAACAATATTAATTATATTCTAATTGTTTCTTCTATGTCATAACTCGTATATTAATCCATAACACATAAATTAAAGTTCATAAACTACTTAAATTAAATTTTATAAGTCGCTTGTTTAAACTTTTGTAATCCATAGGTTTTGAAAGCCTATAAATTGTATGATATGTAAATATAAAGAAATTTAAAGTGAAAATAAGAATTGATTTTGTTTCTCCCAATTCTCTCATTTATTTTATTCTCATATTTTTTAAGTTTTATAACAAGTTATTAACATCACTTTGCTCCATGTACAAATCCAACCTTCCTTTTTTCTTACTTGTTTTAAGATAATTCTATATAAACTGATATTTATAAATCTGCATTTCTATGTCAACCTATTTGTTTATGTACTACAAATAAAAAAAAATGACGATTTGCGTCCGAGTTAAAAATCGATAGATAAAATAAAATTGCAATCAATTTGCGAGAAGCTATAAATGGTCGCAAGTTAGCTGGTTGCTAATTTGTTAGTGACCAAATATGAATGGCGGTACAAATTGTTGATGATCACAGGAGTGATAAGGTGGCTATAAGTGATCACACTTCCTTGCAAGCACCTGTTGTGGAAAATAAGGAGAAATAAGGTGGTTTATGGAGGAATAAGGATGGCTAAATATTTTCCAAGGAATAAAGGATGGCTAAAGTAATTTTCCATAATTCTGTGTAGATATATATTTGGTTTGTTGAAATTTACCATGGCAAGATTTGTACTCTTGACTGAGTTTGCGTAGCTAGGACTTCTCCTTTTCCTTTCAATCATATTTAGTATATATGATTTCTGATTTATTAAGGATTTTTTTTGTTACTATAAGTCGCGTCGGGACTTAAAACCACTAATATATAGTTGGCTTCCTTTCTTACCTTGCAATATATAGAGAAACAGCAATTAATAATATGAAATTCAGCCTCTGCTGCATCTATCGTATATAACACCATATTCAAAACTGCTGTTTCTATTATTTTTTTTTTCTTGTGATCAGAGGCCTAAATCCAGGCTTTTTTTCTTATCATATTACGTCTCATGGCTTTCCTCTTCCCCTTCTTTCAAATGTCGGAAAAATTTTCGTCACCTCTCAAATTAACCCCAAAATAAATTATTTGTTAATGGCGTGAGCAAGTTTTAGGGACTGCCGAGAAAGCCAAGATCTCCACGAACACATCCACTGAAGAACCCCAATGAACCCAGCCGTCGAACAAAGCCACAGAATCAGGCCAATATCAACTAAAATTTTAACCGACTTGGGCAAAGGCGGAAATCGATGCTTCGTGGATGGATCAATCCAAGGGACTCTCTCAGAAGAATCCCTTGGTCTTGAGTGATTGGCCTTGACAAGCACGCAGGGCGTTTGCTGTGTGGAATGCTTTAAAACAGATCAATATCGCACCCAAAGTTTCTCAAAGAAAGGAGTTTACACGATCCGTCAAACAACTAACCTACCTTCGCCAAAAGATGAAACTGTACCCATCCACCAACTCGATGATTCGCATGCAGTTTAAAAATATTTGCGACAGTATATTTAGAACCGCAATTGGGCCGCTCCCATTTTCAGAAACAAAAAAAATTTTTACAGCCCTAATTAAACAAGCCTTGGGTCCTCAATATGAATAACTTTCACAACACCGGCATGCGTTTGAATACCCCAAAACTCACGTCTTACACGGATATTAATTTCCGAACTTCAAAACATGATCAAAGGGCGAGAACCTGGTTTCACAACTTCTGGAAATTTTGGCCTTGCCTTTAACTCATACTTCCACATGTTGGCGTTTTTATGCACATCAAAGGTTGGCTACTCATACTCCACATTTGGCGTTTTATGCACAATCAAAGAGAGACCAACAGTTTGGTGTGTCAAATTCCAACTATGACTCAAAAAATTTTCGCTCATCTTTTTCTTCTGCAGGGCGTGGATTTCAAGCACAGAATCAAGGAAATTTTTCAGGCCAAACACGACGACCTGCACCACCTGGAAAACGAAGGATGACAGTAGCAGAGCGCGAACTTTATCGAGATGAAACCTGTCAGATTTGTAACAAAAAAGGACATATTGCGAAAATTTGTTGGTGGATCCCTTCTTCAACGCCCACAGAATCCCTTCCACAAGCTCTGGCGTCTTTAACACTAGATACCCACAGAATCCCTTCCACAAGCTCTGGCGTCTTTAACACTAGATAATAGTGTTCGTGACCATGATTGGACGTCCGATACCGGTGCTACCAATCATATGACTGGTAATGAAGGTATGGTATCTAGTCTATATAAATATGCAGGTAGCGATTCTGTAATTATAGGAGATGGTTCTTCCATCCCTATAGCCGGTTTTGGAACTGCTGAAATTTGTAAGAATAATAATGTTCTTCCTTTATCTGAGGTTTTGTATGTTCCTAGCTTAAAAAAGAATTTACTATCAGTAAGCAAGTTAACTTCACAATTTCCAGTAAATTGTGAGTTCACTGACGATTCGTTTATTGTGAAGGAACGGAAGAGTGAAAGGAAACGGAAGAAACGAGGCGGCAAACAATATGACAAGGGACAAAGAAGGGTGATTTGTATAACGATTTCCAGTTAAGTGCCCGGCCTAAAGAGGCTTAATTTTTTTCTCAACTTTCGGTTTTAAAGTCTTGTAGTGCCGATGTTGTGGCACCAACGTCTAAGAGAATATCACCAAATGTCCTGCTTTTAAAGTGTACGGTCTACCGGATAATAAGAGGCCTCATACTCTGTTAGATGGCGACGCATTAAAAATAACTAAGAAGTATCTTTGGTGATAGTTGTGACGCTGGAAGAAAACTTCTAGCAAATTTTCTTCCTTTTTATTAAAAAGGTGGCTAATTCTTGCGCGTCAACAAAATTCCCTTTTGAAAGGAACATATCCAGTTGGTGATTATATTGGGCGTTTCCAGCCCCAGTTTCTGTCAATTTGAAAAAATTTTAAGTATTTGAAGGCGCTATGGATTTGTCCACGGACGATTTTTCCCAATAAATGTGGGTTGGATCATACCTTGGCGGCTTAAAAATTGAACTTTTATTCGGCTTTCATTGCTTTTGAAAGTTTACATTAAGACAATAAACGCCTGTTAAATAAAAAGTTTTCCAAGTTTCTGATTGGGCGGAGGTGAGGATTTGTTTTAATTCTTGCTTTTTGGCTACACGACATCATATATTGCTCGTTAAAACTTGGTATAAGGTTCAAGACCAATCATTTCGTGTCCATATCACCAAGAACAGCCCTGGAACAGTTGGAAGCGTCCCCGACACTCGTAAAGTAATTCGTGAGTTAGGGCATGTCTGTTATTTCACGCGTCTTCCCTTATCTTTTTAGGTTTTAATGCTTTTTTTCAACTGCAGTATATTTTTAAATTAATAGGCTTTCCATCAAATCATCCAATTTCTTTTTTGAGGTGCAGCGCAATTATTTATTCAATTAAAGTCATAAGCATCCGGATTACTTCTGTTTTACGGGTATTTGGGTTGTTAAAATGTTTTCCGTAATATTTTGGGATACAAAGGAAAATAAATTTGACCCAAATCTGTTCTTTTGTGTGTTTATTTTGCAAGGCTAACAGGTGCATAATACAAGGGCTTATTCGATGTTTATGATATTTTCAGTAATCGGAAATACATTTTTCCAGGATGGAGTTCTTTCGATGAGGGCTATTTTACCTTTATTAATCAAAAGAAACAAATGCATCTTCAATGGTGCAGAACAAGTTATTTGATACTTCGGATACCACTACCATTAAGCTGATGGTCAACTATTAAGAGGAAAAACACAACCCGAATTAAATTACTCCCTGATAGCCTGTCCCGTTTCCACACATTGCCAAAAAGACCCTCCCGACCACACATCATTATGAAAACTGAGCCCAGCTGCATG